TCATCTCAACTAAACTAGATTACCATAATGGCTTATTATACGGCTTACCAGACTATCGGATTAACAAACTACAACATATTCAAAATTCAGCAGCTCGACTCCTCGCTAAAACTAGAAAACCTCAACACATCTCCCTTGTTTTGCAATCTTTACATTGGCTTCCAATTCAGCAAAGAATTAAGTTCAAGTTACTCCCCTTCGTTTTCAAAGTGTTAAACGGCCAAGCTCCATCTTATATAAAAAGTCTTGTAGAACCCTATACTACCAGCAGAAATCTCCGTTCTCAGAAAAAAACATCTTCTAAAATCTCCAGCCATTAACTTACAACTTGGAAAACGTGCCTTTTCTTATGCTGGTCCTTTTTCTATGGAATAGACTACCACAATCAATGAAATAACTACCGTCTGTGGGCCATTTTAAATCTCAACTCAAAACATTCTTATTCCAAAACTCTGATCTGTAAATAATCAGTGAATATAAAACCAAACAGCGCCTTAAAAACTGTTTTCTTCTTCAGTATTAACGTGCTTTATAAATGACGATATTATTATTATTATTATTATTATTACCTTAACTTGATCTGCCAAACAATTGTTCAGCTAATATATATATAAATGATTTCAAATTCTCAGTGTCCGGTATATACATATATAAAAATGGTTAAAACTAGAAACACGTAGATTAGCAAAGCATGAGCGCTTTCATCTTTAATCTTCAGATGCTTTGAATAGTTTACATAGTTACATATGTGACGTTACATATGCGACGTCATAAATGGCATTGTTCTATAATGACGCATTGTTCTATTATGACATCATGGTATCGGGAGATAATTATATAAATAGACACGTACGGGCAAACCCGATTTCTTATGCAATAGTGGACATTTATTTAAGTTATAATAAATAACTCTGAATTTCAAGTGCTGACAAAGTTAAAACCACCACACCATCTTAGAATTTTATTTTTCAACTTCAAAAACGTGCGGCTAGGAGCATTTTGGATGAAAAACCTGATTCACATTCGTCACCTTTGTTTGAGTCTCTAAATTGGCTTACAATCCACCAACGCATTCAATACAACCAAGGAATGCTCACCTTCAAAATTCTAAGAGACAAATTACCATCATATTTATATAACACATTTTATGAAAATTCTAAATTGACCGAAACTACCATGACATTGAGATCGGAAAGTCACTTAGTCAACTTAAATTAACAATTCCAAAAAGTAAGAAAATAGACAATGACATGTCTGTGAAACATGCGTCTTCAAGTTTTATCTTCAAAAAGGAGTTAGTAAAACATGTTACATCTTTGAACCCTTGTTTTATATATATATAATTACTTTTTTTTCTTGTTTGTAAGCTTATATATTATGATATATATGCACTTTGTAAATATTATTACTGTGTAGTTGCTAGTTTTATAGAGTAGGAAGGACATGTTGAAAATTAGAAATCATGTACTAAATATGTTCCCTCAGAAAATAAAGTCATTATTATTATTATTATTATTATTATTATTATTTAGTAACTGGATAGAGCAATCAAATATAACACATACTTATAGAAAACAGCTGCTACTATATATTTAGTGACTGAATACAGCAATATAACACGCATACCCTACTGTTCTGTTAGTCCCGAAATGACCTAGTTTGTGTCGAGTGGACGTTAAACCCCATTTCTCTCTCTCTACTGTTCTGCCCCGACTGGGCTAATGAAGACGGGCATACGCCATACAGTGTGCTATGAGGGAAATTTTCCCCGTATAGCAGCACTATGGTCTACTCTTATACCGGATTTCAACTGCCAAGGGATCTTTTACGTGCATGCCAATGTATACAAGGGACCTCGGGTTTTCGTCCCATCCGAACAACTAGACAGCTCTCCTTGTCAGGCCCTCCGTTCTGCACCACTGACAAGGGGAAACCACGTCGAAAACATACTTATGGAAAAACAGCTACTAATATTGATAACGATATTAATCTTTGATGCTTCTTACATTACTAGCTGTTGTTCCATACAGTATGTGTAATAGTTTAATACAATACATATATTAAACTAGATTTAAAGAAGATTTCTTTATTCCTATCGTGTTTAAATAATAATGATATCATTACCTTGAATAACTGTACTTTGAATTACTTATACCGGCTTCTACAGATGATATTAGAAGATGAACGAATTAATTTTACTCTGTGATAGTAGTCTGCGTTCTACAAGACTCGATTACACAGTCTCTAGGCGTGCAATGTTTAAATTCATGTATGGATATGCAAATAAATGACTTAATAACAAGAGCTATTAAACTGGTTTTCCCCTTACCATAAATAGATATTTAGTCATATATCACATGTTTTAAGCGATGTAAGCGGAGTTTGATATAACTTATCCAAAAGGTAACTAGTGTGTGAAATTTACATGTTCAAATTGGTTAGTTTAATAAATAGGCTAGTAATATAGCCTAAACAATTACAAACCTTATGTTCATATAACAATACATACCAGTACAAAATTACATACCTATATGTTCATATAACAATATAAACAATAAACACTACCTTGTAACAGTATATGGTCAAATAGTTACTCGTTTCCAAGAATTACACAAGTATAGTTTCTGAGAAGCCAGTATTCCTCGATATCTGCTGTTTAAAGTTATAACAGTTATATCATACATATGACCTATATCACTTCCTTCACAGTCATTATTTACATTATAAAAGAGATATTTTCAGTATACGCAGCTATTGTCAAGTTGTTGTGCATTACACATGCGTATGTACAAATAAAATGAAATGGGGCTCAACGTCCTACAGTTCTGCTCCGTTTGTGCTAACGGGCAAACGCCATGCAGCTTGCTATGAGGGACATTTTGCCAAGACAGCGGCTGTATGGCCTACTCTTATCTCGAATTCAAACTGTCAATGTTTCTTTTACGTGCATGCCTATGTGTACAAGGGATCTCGATCTTTCGTCCCATCCAAACGACTATACGTTGTTGCGTGCAAGGTCATCCGCCCTACAAGACAGACAAAGCAGAATCACGCCGGAAAATCTCGATGAACTTTCTCGGCCAAAGCAGGGATCGAACACGGGACCTCTAGGTTAGCGAGGCAACGTCCTAAGCACTGTGCCATAATGGCTCTGAATCAGCCTTACGGGTTGGCGTATAGTATTGACAAGTCCCTAAATTACTTAAGAATGAATGAAGTTTAACGTTCCACTTGTCTGCACTGACTTATAATCATCAATAAAATATTGATCTAGTTGTAGATTTACTCTTTGGCCTGTACCTTAATTACAGCCTCTCTTGCTACAGTAAGTGTCAATTGTTATCTTAAAGATACATTATGGGAGATGAGATAAAGAGATGGCAGTTCTCGCTATAATAGTTAAAAACTAGATAGTGTAAAGGTAATTTGCTGAAAATTTCAGTCAAATTGATCCACTATGAGCCGAGAAAGAAGCGGGTGAAATTTTTGCATAGTCTCGGTCATCATTACTAAAATCATTAATAAAAACAGCATTATCCACTTTTTCTGATATAATTATCAACGGCCGTTAGCGGTATATAGGAATCTAATCCAGCCAACATCGAAGGCTAGCCTTGACATCGAGAGTTTATTATTGTCTGGATAAGTTAATTAATGTCTAATTGATAATTTAGATAACATTTCAGGCCTAAAGAAAGACTTGTAATAAACAGATTTTGCTCTTGCATAATGCATGTTTAATTACAGCCTCTAATTACTTTCCATGGACACAAATTAGAAGAGGGTAATTTTTGATGATATCTTTTATTCATTGACATTCTTAACAAACATTCCTGGTCATTTTGACATTCTCAATGAACCATGTTGGTCATTCTGACGTTCTCAACAAACTACCCTGGTCATTTTGGGACTAACATACGGTAATTTTAATTTTCTATGTTTACATTAGTCCAGTTGGTACAGAAAAGTTGAACGATAAACCCCATTTTATTTTGGTTTTAGTTTGTCAAGAATATCGCTATCTATGAAATTCTGTATCGCTTAATTCACATTAATAAAAAAAAAAAAAGGTTGGAAAAAACTACCATGAAATTAGTCAGGTAGGTATAATGAAATAAAAATAGAAACTTTATCGCGATCAACATGAACAGATTATCCCGGTGTCGTTTAGCCAGTTTTGAACACTCGTTTAGTGTTGGAATAAGCTACAACCCCTAGAATACAGCACTACAGCAATAGTCATGAATTACGAGGTAAACTATATGCTAGATAAATCTATAGTGTATTGTTTGAATATATAATTCATGTAATAGAGTGATGTTTAGATGTCCGTCTACACGACTGTATATACATGTGTGTTTTATAATACAAGTATCGTATGATACAAGTCAGGTCACCACGCCCCGTGGATCACGATTGGACAAATAATCAAATAATGGCAGACGTTCGGTGTAACCAAGAATACAAATAATGATTACCCTTAGATTTATGTATTTGATTTCATATATTCTATATAAAAGATTCACCCAGCTATAGCCTATATGGTATATTAGAATAAAAACCTATCATTGCAGATAAGATTATAGTACAATATGCCTGTCGTATCACAATGGATATATCGTATTTCAATAGATTTTATAATTACTGTATTCAACAATATTTGGCTTGGTGATTCTTTTTTTCTTTTAAAATATAAAACATTTTTATCGCCTACTCCACATAGATTTTGTTTTGCTTCTATTATTTTGTCCCCTATATCAGATATTTTGATGTCTAGATGTCTTATGAAGAAACTAAGTTACAATTGTCCCAGATATTGCTATGTTATTATCCAAGTTGTTAGTTGTTAGTTATACCCTTGTAATAATGGTATATTCACACATCGATGACGTAAAGTATGTATTATTAGAAGTCAATATATATCATATCTACATTACAACTTTTACAAAACTAACATAAAATATTTAAATTAAATAAACTTTAAATTACATGTCACTTACTTTATTGACACAGGCTTCAATATGATAATAATCCTCTCTATAGAGTCTTTTATTTCAACAATTTAATGGCGACGTTACAGTTTAATTTACTTCCTAGTTGTATCAGGGGTTGGTATAATAAAATGATTGGTTGCTATATATTAGTATTTCGGGTTATAACGCATGCGTCAACTGAATAAGAAAATATATCAACCAACCATGCAGGCCAAACATATTTGTTGTGTTTAAGCACGTCACTATTCTGTTCACATCACCTCCGTAGTCAGGACTGACCGAACTGTGACAGGACCATGGGCGTCACACATGAGGGGGTCGGGTCTGAATATAATTGCCCCCCCCCCCCAAAAAAAAAATAAATAAAAAAAATTACATAGTAGGCCCTAACTCCTATATAATTACAACAATTATGAGGATAAGTTAAGATTCTATCTGTATAAAACCTGTACATATCCCAATATGTTGGTGTGATGTTTTAGTTTAACCCCGTAAAATATGGCAAAACAGTGTTTACAGAAGACTGAAACTTTAATATTTTTTATGGGGGTGGCCCCCTCCCCAGTGGGAGGGTGACCCTCCCACATCTCCCTATCGCACTACATCTTTCATTTCTGTCCTTCTGGACGGCGAATCGAGCACCCCCTAAGTAGCCTGCCTACAAAGGTACTGTAGTACATTACTAATACATATATTATAGTATCATAGACTAGATTATATTAAGATAGAGTTGATACAATATTATTTAAGAAATCATAGAGATGAATACAATACATGTACGTTAAGCAGGGGCGGATCCAGGGGGGGTTCTGACGCTTCCGGAACCCCCTCAAGATTTTTCGGTGCCCTTTTTTCCCGAACGGACTTCCATACACCGGCAGATATTTGGGCCGGCAAGTGGCGACGCCGCGCGGTGAATGAAGACGTCAACGTCATACAATATGGCGACCCCCTTGCCAGACGGCAAGATGAAAATTTTTCGGTAGTTTTTGTTCCTATTTGCATCTAAAATGCCGCGACACGATCATATCAAAAGGAAAAGGGAGGAAGATAAAATTGCTGCAGCCGCTCAGTGTACCAAAATCTTTCGGTAAGTGTAAAATTTTACTGCATTTGTTGATTTTTAAGGTGAAGAGAGTAGTCTGTGCAGCAGTCGCTAGATATTTACTATCATCAATGTACAATTAAAAGAGCATTTACACACTTCAAGCTTAGTGATTTGGAGGGCACATTAAGGCCTAAAATAGGGCACTGTTACGTGAAAATCATGGGTCTAAGGGGCACATTTTTTGCCGAATCGATATAAAATAGGGGCATCTTTACATCAAAGGGGCACTTTTTGTACCTAAATGATTAAAAAGGGCATTTTAATGTGATACCCTTGAATGAGGAGGGCACATTCAACGCCAAGTCGATATACAGAGGGCATTTTAACGTCAAAACCATGGATTGCAGGGGCAATTTTTACGTCAAAAGGATTCAAAGGGCATTTTCACGTCAAACTCTTGGATTTGGAGGGCACACTTTATGGCGAATTTATTTAAAGAGGGCCTTTTTATGTCGATCCCATCGATTTGAGGTCAGATAATAGGTCTCAATGTTTTGTTTTCAGTCCAATAATTCTTTTTACGTCAAAAGGATTCAAAGGGCATTTTCACGTCAAACGCTTGGATTTGGAGGGCACACTTTATGGCGAATTTATTTAAAGAGGGCCTTTTTATGTCGATCCCATTGATTTGAGGTCAGATAATAGGTCTTAATGTTTTGTTTTCAGTCCAATAATTCATGGTTCAGTATTTTGCATTTTAAGTAAAATAAAAATTGAAAAATTCCATTAATTTATTTTGTTTAAACTTACAATATTTCTTTCTCATGGTATGTGGAATGTTGTTGCAATGCTGTATTATAAATCTAGTTTTATGCCTCTAAAACCCACCAGAGTGGCTTAGAATGGTCTGATATTTAAAAAAATTTCCCCAGACCCCCCGCTAGCGCGCGCCTACGACGCCCGCCAGTCATGGTTACTGTATTAGACAAAAATGGGGTGCCCTTATTTGAAAATGGGGTGCCCTTATTTTTTGGGAACCCCCTCCAGCTAGAGCCCTGGATCCGCCCCTGTTAAGGTATGTCTTTGAAAACTAAACAAGGTTAAGTATATACATACCAACTTTGTTTGATTCTAATATATCATATACAATGTTATAAAACCCCAGTTATTACCTTGTCTTGATCTGTTAAACGATTGTTCAGCTATTGCTCGATCTACTGCTTACAATATAATGTCTAACCCTTTAACAAACGACACATCAGGTCTATTTTTACCTGGAAAATCCAGGCTTTTAGACACGTACGGGCAAACCCGATTTCTATATTTAAAGATGCATTATGTTGGAGTTAAATGTGTTTATTACAGGTCTTTATATAAATTATTATTTATTACAGGTCTTTATATTAGCTTCAAAAGTTATAAAAATTATTATTTAGACATGTATTCACATGGCAAGCCTATGATCAACCCACTCTAGAACATCGGATGGCGGAGATTTAAACGGATTGAAACTCGGTCTCCATTTTATTCTGTCTTTGTATCTTTAAATAATGAATACTAATGGGAGAAATTGGTCAGGAAGACAAGATTTCTTTGAATTCCTAGTGCCGAGGAATATACAAAGATTTATATATGGCCTCAAATATTGAACAAGAAGGATTTAGTCTGTCCAGTTTAAATGTTGTACACATGAATCGAATGACAACAATTGGTGCCAATGTCAAACTCACCCATAACCAAACCGCTCCCTCACCCACCTCAATTACAAAAACAACGAAAAGAAAATCAAAAACAAAAAAACTCTGATAATTCGCCCCACACCGTTTTACAAAAGCTTCGTGGGGTAATATCAACATGAAATATATGTTTATTTCATAAAATTAATTGAAAGAAGATATATTTATTGATATCTATGACAATAAAAGCTCCAATTGTACAACCATATTAATACAATAATATTATTTTTAGAGGTATTAAGTAACTGGATAGAGCAATCAAATATAACACATACTTATTGAAAAACAGCTACTACTATATTTAGGGACTGAATACAGCAATATAACACTCATACCCTACTGTTCTGCCCCGACTGCGCTAATGAAGACGGGCATACGCCATACAGTGTGCTATGAGGGAAATTTTGCCCGTATAGCGGCACTATGGTCTACTCTTATACCGAATTCCAACTGCCAAGGGATCTTTTACGTGCATGCCAATGTATACAAGGGACCTCGGTTTTTCGTACCATCCGAACGACTCGACAGCTCTCCTTGTCAGACCCTCCGTTCTGCACCACTGACAAGGGGAAACCACGTCGGAAAACATACTTATGGAAAAACAGCTACTAATTTATTTGGTTGAAGCTGGGATACTGTCACATCACCATATTGATAACGATAATAATCTTTAATGCTTCTTATATTACTAGCTGTTGTTCCATACAGGATGTGTAAAAGTTTAATATAATACATATATTAAACTAGATTTAAAGAAGATTTCTTTATTCCTATCGTGTTTAAATAATAATGATATCATTACCTTGTATAACTGTACTTTGAATTACTTGTATCGGCGTCTACAGATGATATTTTACAGCAGAAGATGAACGAATTAATTTTACTCTGTGATAGTAGACTGCTTTCTACAAGACTCGATTACACAGTCTCTAGGCGTGCAATGTTTAAATTCATGTATGGATATGCAAATAAATGACTTAATAACAAGAGCTATTAAACTGGTTTTCCCCTTACCATAAATAGATATTTAGTCATATGTCACATGTTTTAAGTGATGTAAGCGGAGTTTGATATAGCTTATCCAAAAGTTAACTAGTGTGTGAAATTTACCTGTTCAAATTGGTTAGTTTAATAACTATACTAGTAATATAGCCTATACAATTACATACCTATATGTTCATATTACAATATATACCAGTACATTATTACATACCTTTATGTTCATATAACAATATAAACAATAAACACTACCTTGTAACATTGAGATAGTCAAATAGTTACTCGTTTCCAAGAATTACACAAGTATAGTTTCCGAGAACCCAGTATTCCCCGATATCTGCTGTTTAAAGTTATAACAGTTATATCATACATATGACCTATATCACTTCGTTCACAGTTTTTATTTACCAGTGCCGGATTGGGCCCACCTAAGCGCATTAAAAAAAAGTGGGCTTAAGCCTATAAAGAAAAAAGAGAAAGAAAAAAGAAAAAAAAGAAAAGAGAAAGAAAGGAGAGGGGGGGGGGAGAAAAGAAAGAAGGAAGGAGAGGACAGGGCACAGGACAGGAGAAAGAAATGATTGGAAGAAAAATGAACACAAAAAAAGAAGTGTACTACAAGAAGAGAATTAATATAGTAACTAGAATTGCGCGCAATACTGAAGGCTTTCACTGTCGCCAAGGTGTCACACGATCGCCAGATATATGACAAAAGACTATCCCCACCACTCCCCCCACCTCCCCAAAAAACCCACACTCTAGCATAACTCAGATATTGACCCCTAAACATGCTCCAACTCGTTAAAATACGCTGTTTTCAATTTTCGATCTCTTTTTTAGGCTACCCATGACAATTAGAAACATTGTACAAGGGTTTCACACAATACACTACCCAGTAGAGGTAACAATTTTTATCTGATTTTGTTGAAACTTGAAATGTAAGTTTATAACCCAAAGATCTCGGTTCCTTTCGGTATTCGTGCATATTGGACCGTAACTTCCTGAATTATGCCCCCTGATTGTACGAAAAATCGCATTTTTAGCTTGTGGACCCTATAATAGAGGTCATAATTTTTATACGATTTAAAAAAACGTATGATTATATCACCGTTACACCCTAAGGACGGATGTGTTTGAATTTCGTGAAAATCGGCCAAAAATTGACAGATAAAATGGCCGCCGTTTGTTCTCAAATTTATAGCGTAAATATATGGTATATCAAGGTTGTGTACCCTATATAGGTCACAATTTTTATCCAATTTTGTTGAAACTTGAAATGTGAGTTTATAACCCAAAGATCTCGGTTCCTTTTGATATTCGCGCATATCGGACCGTAACTTCCTGAATTATGT